GCTACAAATATTAGCCCATATATATATATATATATATATATATATATATATATATATATATATATATGGTCCAATATTAGTAGCATTGACTTTTACACGAAATCGGAATTAGAATCGGAATCTTATCTCAAATAACAATTTAAAAGAGACTGTTTGACCAACACAAAGACTGACCAAAATTCATGTTAAAAAAATAAATAAATAGAAAAATAAAAAACAAAACAAATGAAAACTACAGACAAAAGATTATTTTCTCCATCAAGACATTCATTCCTGTTCTTCACTGCTACCAGCAATCAGAAAATGATTTTTCTCCTGATGATGGCCATGTTGGCAGAACTAGTCGAGGAATCTAAATGAAATAATAATAAAAACGAAGGAATATTAATATACAACCCAGTGTGTCTGAAGATTTTAATTTTTTAACATTTTTTATTGTTTAATATATATATATATATATATATCTGTGTGTGTGTGTGCGTTTGTGTGTGTGTCTTGACTGTGTGATATGTATTATTTGTGCATTATAGCAGGAGCTTAATTCGAGCCATTGTGTGTTGGGAATGGCTGAAATTCGAGCGAGCGACTTTCTATTTTTAAAAGACTTTCAGTACTCTGTTACTATTGACAAACAATGCAAGACTGATGGTGATAGAGAACTGTTTCATGTACAGGGCGTTTATATTCAAACAAATATTGTTCAATATATCGGACAATGAATATTTATTATGTCTGATCATGACCCGTTCTAAACTTCGTATGTTTGCTTTAATTTCGGATGAAAACAAAAGAATATATATATATATATATATATATATATATATATATATATATATATATATATATATATATATATATAGGCTAACTGAAAGTCAAGGTAAATTATAGAGCATCTTAATTGATACAATTTAATGTGTAATAATCAAAATCAAGTAAATCTTGTTGATTCTTTATAATGTAATTATTATTTGGTTAATTTGCAGTGTAACACCTGCACTCAGTTCGCATTAAAAATTCCCCGAATACTTCTTTTTATGTGTTATTGCACATGCTTCATTCGAATCTGACTTGATAAATTTGCTAAAATCTATCGTTTTGGAGTTATCGGCAGTAAAAGTTTGGATTCATTCGCGTCGTGGGCAGCCATTACGGGTGTTGTTTGTATACATTCGCTGCAGAATAGCTATCATTATAGGTATCATTGCGCAAACAGAGCGTGTGTACGTAAATAGTTCTCGTGCGCAGTAACTGAGACAAATTTAGACAAGAAAGATCAGTTTCAAGCATAGCTTTCCGTAGTCTTCCGCGTTTAGCTTTCCGCAGCGAATGTATGCAAACAACGCGAGTAATGGCGGCCGCAAACGACGCGATTGAATCCCAAATTTCACAGTCGATAATTCCAAAACGGTAGATTTTATCAAATTTGTCAAACCAGATTCGAATGGAGAATGTAGAATTACACATAAATGTAAGTATTTTGGAAATTTTTAATGTGAACTGAGTGCGGGTGTTACACTGCAAATTAACCTATTATTTATATTATTTTTACATTATTTTCACAGTCATATATCTTCTTTTTGTTCTTATTCCTATTTTCTTTTAATGGATATATCTTTAGTTATATCTGAATGTTTACACACACATACACACATTAATATTTTCTTTATTCCAGTTTGATAATAAATTTTGAAAGTGCTTTTACTTTGTTTAAGAAAAAATTTTCTTAATGAATATATAGTTTAAGATTTATTGAATATCTTGAAAAAGAGACAATTTTTATATATATATATATATATATATATATATATATATATATATATATATATATATATATATATATATATATATATCAGGCAGCCTGACTATTGCGTCTAGCATGAAACAGACTATCGCCTCTAAGTGTTGACTTCTATGTTCACTTTTATACTTACACGCGCTCTATCTCTGATATTGAGCACTTTATCCCATAAATATAGCACACTTTAAGACTATATTTCTTTATATATATATATATATATATATATGTATAATTATTTATTCGAAATTTATAAAATAATTATGTTATGAAATCAATACAAAAATAGCCATTTTGTTTCAACAATTCTGTTTTCTTATCAAGGGATGGTGTTGAATGTCGACTAAAGGGTTTAAAATTATAAAATTATTTAAAGAAACTGGGGAAAAATACATATGTTTTTCTATTTATTTTGTTTTTATTGAAATTAAGTTGGAATAAACGTTAAGATAAAATGTTGCTCTGGACTTCATGAAAACATATTTATGCTATAATTTTCGAATAAATAATTATGTTTGCTCTACTCTGTATTGAGCACTCTTTTAAGAATAGTATTTTTTGGTTATTGGAATTTATTCCGTACGCACCAATCCTATGCTTGGATACATACATACATACATACATACATACATATATATATATATATATATATATATATATATATATAAACTAGGGTGAAAAATACGTTGGTATATAATCCAATATATAGTAATATGAAAATATTATAACTGATCAATAAAAAAAGAAGTTGATGTATTTTATTAATCCACAGCAATATAAATAATAATTAAACAAATCCTTTTTACCTCATATGAGGAATAGGCTATTTCGGCAGACGGCGAAAGTAGTCGTCTGTCTTTTTAGCCCCGGTGTGGAATGAAGGTCATGACAAGGTGGAACGTAGTAGGAATTGGCCGTGAGGAATTATTTTTGGAAGCTAGACCTTCAATTTGCCGGTAACCCTTTTCACTGTTTCAGTTGGACGCTGGGTACGAGGTAGGGCTTAAGGAGAGTGGTGAGTGTTTATTTTAAATTTATCTTGGGGATTCATTCTTACTTTAATTTTAAATTTAGGTTAAAAACACAAGGTCACAAGGTTAATGTTCCGGGCTTTCCCTAATAAAACCTCTTTGCCTTAAGATAAACACTCTTGGGAAGAGGTTGTGTAAATGGAACTTCCTCCTTACAAATGGAATGCGAAGACGTTGAGGATGGATCGACCCTGTGTACGGGGCATGTTAGTTGTAAATGTCTGAACTGGTAGAATGTAGCTCGTAAGAACATTTACCATTTTCATAATTACAGATCAGAACCTGGTGTAAGATAGAGTATAGTAAGCGAATATTTTCGAAATGGTGGCTAGTTAATCCCTGTTGCTGACGCCTACTCAGGCAAATTGGGTTTCTTCAGCACCCACACAGCCAACTTGTGGCTTATATTGCAACTATACTGAGCGGATCTTAAGCTCAAAATCAGCACGATCATCAGTTTACACAAGGCAAATCTACTCAAACCCTCGGTCACGATGACTTGTGAGTTCGTGCTAGCACAATCGTCTACCCACTCACAAGGCGTGGATTAATGTTTTATTGTTTTAGTGGAACTTTCCAATGTTGCCGCTCACTGGGATCACCACCCCTCTCTAGGCCGATATTATCAAGACGTTACCTTCTTGATAAATCGACCATGGTGAGATTCGAACCTGGGCCTCGCTAACGTTCTAACCATTTGCACACGCGCCATTTTTCTAAAGAAATATAAAAAACACAGGGAGAAAAACCAACTTAAAATATGTGTATTACCGCCCACGCAGTCTCTTTTTTGTGATTGTTATAAACAAACCGAGTTCCACCAGTTAATACCTTTACAGCTAAGCACCACTATGCCACGTACACATGGTCGAATCACCTGCATTGCTCTCGTATTCTATTAGCACGAAAGAAATTCCACTTTCCTGACAACTGCAATGTTAACTTCTTCAAGTCCAGGGTCAACCTTTATCTATCCTACAGATCTTTATCTGTCTATATTTCTGAGATGAAGTATTGTAATTATTTACATTGTTCGGAATCTTCTCCTCATCTTCATTGCCATATTCACGACGTTTCGGTCGTTGTACGCTCCAGCCTTCTTCAGGTGATTGGATGATACATGGCCCAGTGGATAAAAGTGTTGGGTGGATCCAGTGATTAACCCAAACAGCTGTGAGTTCAATACTTGGCCACTGCAGTGGTGATAAAAAAAAAACAAAAAAACAAAACAAAACAAAACAAAGAACTTGGAGAGTTGAATTAAAGTGAATAACTGAAACAACCGGAAGAGGCATGGCATGTGGAACTAGAACAATCTACCTCGGTAGACGAAATAAAGGGTTCAGTTCGAAATTCCAAGCAACCTGAAGATACAATGGTCGAAACGTCGTGAATATGGCAATAAAGATGAGGACAACAGTCCGACTAATGTAAATAAGTACATATCTAAATAGTGATTTACTAAGCGAAGCTTAGATGTGGCACAAGGTCGAAAGTAGGGAGCACCCTGAGAGAATCGAACACATTCCATAGTCGTAATTGGATCTAGCAAGACAAGTTTGCTAACCATTATATCACGTCGAAATGCCCAACATGATTTTCTAAGCGTTAAGAAAGATGTGGCGCAAGACCGAAAGTATCGGGCACCCAGTGAGGATCAAATTCGCTATTCACTCGTAACTGATCTAGCAAGACAAACTTGTTAACCATTACACCATTACACTGCGCCAAAGTGCTCCCTACATATCTTTATAATCTGCACTTATTTCTTCCTTTTACGTCCATACAACAACCTCATTCAGTAACCGTCTAGTGTGCATCTTAGGACTTGTATTAGGCGAACATTTAGTTCAAAAAAGAAAAAAAGAAAGAGAGAAATGGCGAAGATTGTGTATACACAGGAAGTAAAAACATAGGCTGACACTTGCAAAACTAATCAACACTAACAATCCGTTGATACCCCCCCCACCAAAAAAAAAAACCGATGACTAATTCTACTTGGTATGTAAACATTAGATAAACCATTTTAACTTCTAGAAAGGTTAAGGGAAGCGTAGGTCCGTAGACACAAGCGGGGGTGCGGGTAGGTCCCCCAGAAAATCATTTGCACCTACTTTGAAAATATGAACTATTTTTAGGGGACAAGTTCTTATACGCGGCACCTAGATTTAAAGGCCCATTCACATCGGCGAGGTGAAGTGTATATCTATCTATCTATCTATCTATCTATCTATCTATCTATCTATCTATCTCGGTCCATTCATATATTGTCTCTGTGAGTCTATTCATATCTATCTATCTATCTATCTATCTATCTATCTATCTATCTATCTATCTATCTATCTATCTCAATCTGGTTCATATCTATCTATCTATCTATCTATCTATCTATCTATCTCAACATGTTATCTTTATACCGGAAATATTTTGTCAATTGAAACAAAATTGCAAGGGATATACCGAATGCATGATTGTCAGCAAAGAGACAGTCCAACATGCAAATTACAAATTAGAAATATCAAAATCGCTTTTCCCAATGCACCTTCGGATTTCCATGTCGTCCTTTCTGTCCTCTTTTAAAACACTTCCCAGATCTTTAAATTATTCAACAATTTAAATACCTGGGAAATGTTTTAACAAAGAACGGAAAGTCCAACACAGAAATCCGAAGGCGTCTTGGGATAGAGAAAGATGCCTTCAAAAGCTAAGCAAAGTATTAAGAAACAGAAAAATCGTTAGAAACAAAGAAAAGATAACTGAATTGTTATGTAATATCATTCTTTCTATACGGCTGTGAATGCTAGAAAATCTCCTAACAGATGAAAAAGAGTCCTGAAGCAATAGAAATGTTGTTCTGCAAAAGGATACTGAGAATACTATGGATGTACACGTGAGCAACATCGAAGATTTAGAGAAAATGGAAACAAAAAGAACAATTATACTTTACATCAGATAGAGTTAAATTTTCTAAGGAAAGAAAGCTTGGAAAATTTGATACTCACAAGACTGGCAAGGTGGACAGCGGAGAACAACACGTAACCTACCTAGCGAGCTTTATTATATGAATGTCAAATCAGGGTTTAGGAGAGATACCAAAACGACAATTTATTAACAGCTACTTTTGTGATGTCAACGATCACTCGTTGCCAATTTTCTGATGCTCGTTGTAGTAGAGACTTTGTAATCGCAGGTACAACTATAATAACGCCGTTGAACAATACTAGTGGCAGACGCCTTCGAATAACATTCGCACTAATAGTACTTGCTTGATAATAATCGCTCGAATAGTAATCCGTATAATGATCCGAAATAGAGAAATATATAGTGAATAGAGTAGAGAATAGCGGTTCGTAACGTAATAGAGGATAGAATAGAAATAGCGATCCGAATAGTATAGAGGATAGACTAGAGATAGCAATCAATCAGACTCCAAGCTACTTCCTACTTACGCGTTTGATGGTCACGTGGCCTACTTTGCACACTGGCGATCTATGTTCAAACTCAAGTGTCGGCAGCGACACTTTCTATATAACAACTACGAAGAACAGGAAATTGTGCAGAGCCATGATCCCCAACGTCCTGAAGGGATACGGCACGTAAAAAAATGAACAATTTGACAATGAAAGGACATAAGGCTACCGAGATGTGCTTCTAGCGATAAACATTGAGAATGACTTGATAAATGAGGCAGTTTTACAAGAATAGGAGATTAATATGTGACATACACAATAAGGAAAATTTGCACGGAGAATATAAAACTTTTATGGTACATAGGAAAGAGAGACAGAGAAAAGCGGAGATTAATTGGGGTGCAGGATGACTCATAACCGCCAAATCAACGCTATCGACTCAACACCGCCGACTCAAAGACATGCAAACTATGATTTTTTTTTGTCAACTTTTTTAAAAACAAATAAAAGTAATTTGCTAAGGACCATTTTTAAAACAACTTTTTAAAACCGAATAAAAGTAATTTATTAAGGAAAGCATCCGACAATGATTCCAGTGTCATTTGATATACATTTTGCTAATACTTCAATTATTACTGCGCTTGACTTTTCAGCGGTGTCTTCGGCATAACGTTTCATTGGCCCTCTGATGAATTGTAAGAATGCTATAAACTGGTAACTTAATCCAGTGCCAGCGTTTGTTCCGACCTGCTCACGTCGAATGTAAGTTGATATAAGCAAATCTTATACATATTTAGAAACGGGTGCTTATTTGGAATTAAAAACAAAGATTCTCCTTCTCATGGTTGGGGAAGCGATTATTTAAAAATGTATAGTACAAAATAATCTTGCCTTTATTAGGAGTGGAAGAGATGGAACAAGTATAGTAGGTATTGGACGTGTGCAAGACGACTCAACGCCGCCAACTCATCACCGCCGACTCAACATCGCCGACCAAATACCACCGACTTAAGACCGCCGGCTCAACACAACCGACTCAATATCACCGACTCAACACCACCGACTCAACACCGGCCTACTCATTTCCGTGACAACACAACTCCAGGACAACACCACCGACCTACTCAGCGCGAGGACAACTCAACGACATGCAAACTATGAAATTTAGGGGGCGATTTTTTAAAAACAAATAAAAGTAAATTATTAAGGATCATTTTTAATGCATGACTTTATTTTTAATTTAAAAAAATTCTTAAAATTTTTTTGCAGTTTCCCTCAAATATTCAGTTGGAGATCTTTGGGAAAAAGAAGAAACAATCTGCAAAATTCTTTCATTTGTCTTCATAGACTTCTTCAATTTAGGGGATCGGGGTTCGACATTTGCCGCTGACAAATTGTGTGAATGCTTCTTTTCTTCCTTGATAGCTGCTCCAAACTTCGTATGAATTCTTGCATTGCACCGAGAGCCTTCGTTACACTAACATTTTATATTGCTGTCTCTTTTACGAAACTTTTCAAATACAAATAAATGTCTTTCATGTGCAAATTTTTCTTTTCCTCTTTGACTAAGAATTTCCATTGTAGGTGTGATGAAAAGTTAAATAAGCGATGTTGAGTCGGGGGTGATGAAATGTCCGCTCCTAAACTATTTGGTCCAAAGATGGAAAAATTGTTAGCTCATTCTATCACTTGAGAAAGTATCTTTTGCAATGCTTTATCTTTACAAGAGATGGGGAAGCACCCACACAGATCTCTGTTCGACAAAGAGGCATTTCTTGGAGGAAAAGCTGAGTGGAGCATATGGCATGTCCTTGCTGTAATGGTCTTAACTGGTGGAATGAAAGAGTGGAGCTCACCTGAACACTTGCCATGTCAATAGGGATAGAGTAGTGACAGGCTTGCAACATTGTGTATGTGGGGGGAAAAGATTGTACAGTGGAAATTAAGCCCCCTCCTCACTATAACAGCGAAAACGATTTTGAATTCTACCAAGACTGAAAAGTGAGGATTGAGCAGTTCAGATCAAATGTCGCAACAATACTCCATTTTTGGTCTTTTATATTATTTACATTGTTCGGACTGTTGTCTTCATCTTTATTGCTATATTCACGACGTTTCAGCCGTTGTACACTCCGGCCTTCTTCTATATGCGTCTATATTTCTGAGATGAGGTATTGTAATTATTTATATTATTTACATTGATCAGACTGTTGTACTCATCTTTATTGTCATATTCATGACGTTTCGGTCGTTGTAAACTCCGGACTTCTTCAGGTGATTGGAATTTTTCGAACTGAAACGTTTATTTGGTTCTAGTTCCACGCGCCATGCCTCTTCCGGGTGTCTCAGTTATCTCCCTTTAATTCAGCTCTCCAAGTTTTTGTTCACCACTGCACTAGTCAGATATCGAACTTACAACTCTTTGGGTCAAGTCAATGGATCCAACCAACCCTTTTATCAACTGGGCCATGTGTCTTTTTTATACGAATGTTCACACTATACAAGGCTCAAGAGAAGTGTAATTCATGGGTTATGCAGGAAAGAGAAGGGTTGACCCTAAGATTGTCGAGAGTGAGAAAACATCCCACCGGGAGTCTGTTCCACAAAACAGTCATTGGGAAGAATTTGTTCGAATGTAACTTACTTCTTACTATTGGAATACAAGGCGACGGTTCACACTTTTGTACGTAGTATGGCAGGTCCCAATTGTAAAGGTTAGAGCTGGCGGGACTAAGGAATGTAACTCATCGCAACACCTGCCAGGTTAATAGTGATAGAGGTTCGCAAAGTTTCGTCTGTGGGGAAAAGAAGTTGTAGTTCATTACTCACAAGGCCGCGTCGATACTTTTGAAATCAAGACAGTCAAGTGAGGAATAGTCAGCTCCAGCACAAACACGGCAGCAACACTCCGTTTTTGGTCTGATCTGGATTTTGTAAAGATAGAGTATAACAGTGAGTGGGGGGACAATGAACCGATCATTTCCCCTGCGTCTATAGCAATAGATTGGATGATTTCTACTTGATGTCTCAAAAGACGTTCAAAACAAGGACCCTGTCTGAGTGAACCGACCTCCATCTTCTAGTCTGACTACTGAAAATATTAGACATTTATAAAAGAAAATTGAACAAATTAACAAAACTATTAGAAACAATACATTTTCATTAGTTGAATATAAAACCGAATTATTGTAGGTTTCATTTAACGCCTGGAAAAAAACCCACAAATAATCCCTTTGTATGTAATTAGCCCCATTTTGGCAATTGCTGACCTAGTGATCAGTGAAATTCCTGTAGTGAAATCCCTGCAGTATTAAACGCTCTATAATCAATGGCTCAAAATACTTTTTTTTTAAAATTTCGAAAGTAAAATGTCAAAAGTCTTGTAAGCGCGGATGCTGTCCCAATTCGTTCAGTCTCTCCGCTTACCACCAGCATTTTTATCTTTTCCTCTGCCTGAATTCTGATTCCACAACCACACAGCCATTTCCCCATCGTTTCCTTTTACTGTTATTTATCATGACGTCGTTTCGGATAATGGAATAAATTGAAAAATCGAGACTTCCTTTCATGCGGAGGAAGAACGTGACCAGACTGCTTTTCTTTCTTTCTTTCTTTCTTTCTTTTCTTTTTTTTTCTTTTTTTTTTACACCCAATTCATTCATTCTTTCTTTTCTTTCTTTTCTTTTCTTTCATTTTTCTTTCTTTCTTTTCTTTCTTACACCCAATTCATTCTTTTCTTTCTTTTTTCTTTCTTTGCATTTTCT